GTGCACACACAAGCAATTCGTTACTCAGAGATTTTTGCATTGGTTAACAGTGGGGACAGAGATTTCTGATGCAAGTGGTTTCTACTGATGAACTCTCTGTAGTAATATACATTAATTAACCAAAAAATGATCCCATCACTGCTCCCATCCCATTGTCAAGCGTCTTTTGAGCATCTGCTATGTTCCATGCTCGGGGCTGGTCCCGTAATGGGAATTGTGAACAGCAAGGGATAGAAATTAAAAGTATGTGACAACCAGGAGGACAGCAGACGGTAAGACTGGAGGTCACGTGGAGGACCTCTTTGTCCCGGGCCGGATTATGGGGTGATCTGGCCGATCCTAGGGGAAGGGTGGAGTGGCTGGGGTGACGGAGGGGTGCTCCAGGCTCAGAGCAGTGGTGATTTACTGCGATTTACTGTGTGTGGCCAAGACTGTCCTTAATAGAGCATTTAGCACGGGCCTGGCTCCGTGATCTTCTACACCGGCGTTCGAGCCACACACAGTCCGCCCCTCACAACATTTACAGGATAGTGCATTAGTGCACCTGCTGCTGCGGGGTCCGCAGTCTCAGGTGCCCTCAGCGATCCACCGAGGTGAGCGTGTGTGTGTCTCCACTTTGCGTGGGGAACTGCGTTCAGGCAGGTCAAGTTCCTTGCTCAAGTTTATGTGACTGGAAGGAGGCAGAGCCTCAAACCCAACCTAAGGCTTTGTGGCTTCAGAGGCCCGTGTTCTGCGGCGCTGCCCATGCAGACTTCAGGAATCTGGAGAGTTTAGGTGCCCCGCAGGTCCCCAGACAGCTCTGATTGCTGGGGACATGCAGCCTCTCGGGCTGCAGTCTGGAATCCCAAAGAGCCCGAAGGTCCGGCTGCCGACGACAGGGGCCCCTTGGAAAGCGGTCCGGACTCAGACCATGCCAGGTGGCTGGGACCTTCGGGGCTGCTCTGAGGTACCGCCGGACCGTAGCCTGCTCTGGGTTCACAGACCCGCAGCCGGAGGGGTCTAGGACACCCCGGGGCAGAATGAGGCCCAGAAATAAGAAAGACTTTTTTTTAGGTATGTTGCCCCGAGAGAAGATGCTCCTGAGAAAGACCCCTAGCCCTTCCCCATCAGATGCGTTCGTTTTTGTTTAAACAAATCCTTGCCTGAGCGAAGGGCGTCAGCTCCGCGGAGTGGAGGGTTTGTGCGTTTCCCAGGCATGTGGCAGTGGGCACAGTCTGGCGGTGGCCAAAGAGGGTTAGAGGGGGTAGGGTCAGGGAGAGAGCAAGACTGCTGGGGCCTGGACCAGGGCGGATGGGCCTGAAGGGACAACAGGGAAGCATTAGGGGAAACCTTGACTTCGGATCTGGACTAGAAACCGGGTTTCTGGAAAACGTGTGGTGGCTTTTGGTCCTGGCTGTGGCTCCCACGTGGCTTGAGAGAAAGGGGAGAGAGGGCTGGAGGCCGTGAAAGTGCCGTGGACTGCCACGCTCTGGCGTGTGTCTGTGAGGCCGGGTCCATTTCCCGTTGAGAAACACGCTTGTGCTTAGAAGCACCGCATCCACCTTTTCTAAAAGCAAAGCGCTCCTGTCTGAGAACCACTGGGTCATGGAGAAGCACAGAACCAACCCGCAATCCTGTAAGACACATCTGCTTTGTCGGATTTTATTATTATTTTTGTGAATGTGGTTCTAAAGTAGCCCACCGCTTCTGGACCACTGACTCAGCAGAAGCAAACCACGTTTTAAGGCCGTTGCAAACCGAGCTTTAACCCTGTTTCAGTCTGTCTCAGGCACGCCGGGCTCCTCACTGAGCAGCCAAGGCATATCCTGGTCGGTATTACTGTTATTATTATTATTATTATTAATAAAAACAGTGTACTTTTCATTTCAGTCACCCTCTCATCATCTTATTTTATTCCTGGAACAACTTGTGAGTTCCCCAAAGCCCACGTTCCTATGTTCCTTGTGCAGGTCAGTGTTTCTCCTACACAACATCCCCTTCCTCGCTATTCCCATGTGTTCTGCATATGGAGTACCCTTGGACTTGGACTTGGTCCTAGGTCACTGTACTCCTTTATTTTTAAAGATTTATTTATTTTAGAGAGTGAGAGTGTGAGCAGAGGGAGGGGCAGAAGGAGAAGGGGAGAGAGAGAGAGAATCTCAGGAGGGCTTCCCCTGAGCCTGGGGCCCAACGTAGGGCTCCATCTCATGACCTGGAGATCGTGACCTGAGACTAAACCAAGAGTCAGACGCTTAAGCGACTGAGCCACCCAGGCGCCCCTACTCTCTTTTTGAAAACTTAAATAGCTATTTTTAGAAAGGTAATCTTATGCAAAAATAGAAGCCTAGTCACTTGTTATTAATAGAAGGAAACTATAAAAATAATTATAGAACTATTAATATTTTTTTAAAGAGTTTGCCACATAAAATACTACCTAAAATGTCCCTTACGACTGCGTTACAGGTCTCAGACCTTGTGAACCCTGGGGTTGACGAAAGTGTGAAGCGAAGCCTCGTCCCAGTCTGTCTCAAAGCTCTGGGCCTGCGTTCAGGGTACAGAAGTGAAAGGCACGGGCTCTCTGAGAGCCACATAAAACAGAATAAAAAGGAGAGTAGGAGGGTCTTTTGGTTTGTCTCTGGAAAGCTGAAGCCAGGAGGGAACAGCAATTGCCTTCAGGTGGCGGGGCTGTGGGGGCGACGGGCCCGCCGTCCCAGCCGGGAGAGCGCGCCCCATCAGGGCAGGCGGGCTCCCGGCTCACCTGTCACATGTTATCTTAGGAACAGGCTCAAGATATACATTGGCCTCTTTAAATGTCACAGGCTTCCAGGGCCTCAGAAGAGTCTAAAATTGTTCTTTCCAATCAGTGGCCATCTGGGAAGATTTTTGGTTTCTCTGGCTCGAGTTCTTGGAAGCTGCCCTTTTCTCTCTCCTTCAGATAAACTTTCAGCTTGAGATCCCTTCATAATTGAGTCATCTTGTACTTTGTGAGGTGATGGCTCTCCAAATCATCCTTGCTGTCCTTGACAGCACACACAGGGGAGAGCGTGGGCTTCACGTTGACAGCTGGAATCTAAGCTCTCACTGAATACCCGGGCGGCTCCAGGGACCCTGCTGGGGGTGGGGAAGCAAAAACGGACACTCGTCTCCCTCTCCCAGTTTAATGGAAAAGACAGGGAAATAAATAAATATGGCGACACAGTTTAATAAATGCTAGGATATGAGTAAGGGCAGGCTGTTGTTAAAAAACGGAAAAGGGCATCAAACCAGACCAGGAACACCAGGGAAGGCTTCCTGGAGGAGGTAACACTTGACTTAGACCTTGAAGGATGAATCCGAACTTGGTAGGAATGGAGGGGAGAGCGAGTCATCCCGGAACAGTGTGGGGGTAAGGCTGAGCATAAGTTTTCTCATCTGTAAAAAGCTAAAATGATCCTCACAGGCTTATTGTCAGGATGAAATGAGTTAACATATGGAATTTGCCTGATGCTATTCAGGACATGTGATAAGGGTCTGAGCCGTTCATTTGAACCCCTTGGGCACTTCCTCTGTGGATCCACAGAGTGTGGTTCCTCTTCAGTTGTGCTACTTAGATCGGGTGATCGGGATTTAACTGTTTGTAAGACCATTGTCCCTGATAGATGGAAACTCCCTGGGTAGAATGATGGACGATCAGAGTTTCCTTGATGGTGGCAGTGACTGTTCTCTCCACTGGGAGACCTTAACCACGTTAGCAGAAGCTCAAGAGAAACTCCAGGCTGACATTTTTCCAGTGGAATATTTATGTTTAAGAGTAGTTGCACAGTATTTAAAGGGAGCACATCCTCCCCCCATGCTGCTCCTAATGCTACACTGAGTGACCCCTGAGGTCTCCCCAGGGTTTGGATAGCACCTCGCATCCCACATGTACCAGGTACTCGAGGTACCCCTTGAGTGACCAGGCAACCATGTGGGGAAGCTGTGCTGTGATTCAGGGAAGGCCGCCCTCTCGCTTCTCCGGTCTCTGTTTCCTGCTACAGATCCACGGGTTTATAGCTTCTCTCTTCTGGAGAGAAGGTTTCATGCTCTGCTCCTGAGAGGACAGCGGGGCCCCCTCCGTCTCTGTCACCTTGAGCTGTGGCTCACTATAAGGGAACTTGGAGTCAACTTACCTGGGAGAAATAGGACCAGAGGATCACGTGCCCAGGGCCTGTTCTGTGGACACTTGTGACCACAGCTCCCTGTGCTTGGTAGGGGTAGGAACAGCTTGGGCAGGCCTGTCTGCACTTGCCCTCCTGGGCCTTTTTGTGGCCAGTAAGCCATGCCCAGCCATCCTGAGTCTCCTTCCCTGGGTGCTGATAAAACCCCATGCTGTGGAGACAGGCAGGGCAAAGACCTTAATGGGCACAAAGTTGCAAAAGATACAGGTGGCCAAGGGTATGACAACAGTCTCTGCCCGCACCACCACCCTCGCCTTGCCATGGTGGAATGTGACCCCTGACAGCAGGAACTGTGTTCTCTTGGGCCCCTGGAATCGTACCTGCGTCTCAGAAAATGTTCATCGCTCATGAGCGAGTGAGCCGTTCCTGCCTCGCAGGCTCAGCCCGACCCCAGCTCTCCGAGCACCAGGAGCGTGGATCTGGGCGTTTCGGAGGAGCCCGGACACCTGCTCACTTCCTCTCCACGTGTGGGTTTGGACTTGACTCCCCTTCCCTGTCTGGCTGGCCCTGGCCACAGTCCCTTAGGCACCGGGGGCTCGTGGGCTGTGCCGCTTGTGGCCTTGGGTGTTGATGTGACCCAGTCCGAGGTGGGTTCCAGGCGGGCATCAGAGAACTAAAACATGGATGCGTGTTCTGTTGGAGAGCGGGTTCTTCCCGTGCCTTTAATCTAGCAGCTCAGTGGGGGTGTCAGCAGCTTGGGGTCACAGATATGCAGTGTGGTTGGGAGGAGAGGAGAGCTACAGGACACAAGCAGGGGGCCTCTGTCCACAAGGGGTCATCTCTGTGCCCCCCAGTCTCCTCTCATCTATGCTCTTCTCCTTACAGGCTCCCCCGGCCACTCCGGCTCCACGTCCATGAGCCCATCGGCAGCCTTGTCCACAGGGAAGCCGATGGACAGCCACCCCAGCTACACGGACACCCCAGTGAGTGCCCCACGGACTCTGAGTGCAGTGGGGCCCCCGCTCAATGCCCTGGGTTCTCCATATCGAGTCATCACGTCTGCCATGGGCCCACCCTCCGGTGCACTGCCCGCGCCTCCAGGAATCAATCTGGTCGCCCCGCCCAGCTCCCAGGTAGGTGCCCGTCCTCTCGCGGGACTTCCCGGTGACTCACACAGGTTGTCCCCGGCTGCTGCTGAGCTGAGCCCTGGCTCGTCAGGGCTCCGAGGTTGCTTGCTGGCGGGTCGTGTCTCCTGCAGGGCCTTCACGGAGTGTGTCGACCATGCCTCATGGGCCAGGAGGCTGTGGCCCAGAGGCCTCCCCTGTGGTTTAATGGTTTAGCCCTGGCAGTGATTTCCTCGTTTCTGAGGGCCGTTTGTCATTCTGGGGACAGACCCCTCTCTGTTCTTCTCAATTCAATAATGAGTGTTTATCAAGTCTGTGAAGTGACTGCGGCTCCACTACATGCTGAGGGCGATAGGGAAGCGGAAATGATCAGAATGCCATCTCTGCTCTCCAGGAGCTGGTCCCTGAGAGGGGGACTGGGCAGGTATGGCACATGGACAGATCTAGAAGATGGCCCGTTGTCCCTGAGATGGAGGAAAAGACTGGAAACTCAGGAAGGAAACCTCCCCGAATTCCTTGTGTTTCTGCTGCAACAGAGGGGAGGAGGTGTGTGTGCGTGGGCTGCATGTCCTCGCTGCGCTGGGGACCCCGAGGGTGGCTGATTACCACTTCCTGCCAGCAACGTCGCAGCGAGGTCGTCCACCTTCCTTTCCTGTGGTGGTCAGCTCTTGCCATGATGATGCTGTGTAACAATCTTCAAATTATCATGGTTTACAAAAACACACATTTTTTTTCCCACTCACTTGCAAATGTATGTTGGCTGGGATGGCTCTGCTTCAGATGGTGGCGGGGGGCTGGGCGAGTCTGCAGACTCGGTGCAGGTCTGCTCCTCGGTCCCAGAGTAAAGGAGCGACAGCTGTGGGGCATGCTTTTCTCGTGGGGTCTTGCGAGTGCAAAATGAAAACCAGAGCAGCAGGGTCCAGTGAAGCCTCTGCTCGCTTGTGCCCACCAGTGTCCCATGGGCCTAAGCGAACTGTGTGGCTCACCCCAACACTGCCAGGGCAGGGAACTAGGCGGTGCCTGTTTCAGCGGGAAGTACTACGGAGACACAGCGGAGAGGAAGTGAAGAATTAGCAACAATAACCCCATCTCCTGCGTCCCCTCTCTTACTTACGGGCATCTCACTTTTGGGTGGCACTGTCCTGCTCCAACCGTGGAATTGGTAGGTTCTGAGGCTTCCTCGGAATTTATGGTTTTGGAGAAGAGCCAGGAATCCCGTCATGCCAGTATTTCTTCCTAATACAGGGAGAACTTCTGAGACCACCCTTAGACCATCCCTTTTAAGAGGCTTCCTGGGTGCAGGGTCTGGAAGCAAAGCCATGTGCAGTCACAGAACTTTAGAGGGCGTTAACGGACTCAGAAATCTATCGACTGGGGGATCCGAGCATCTGAGAAGACCTTGGGGTGGTCACTGAGTGTGGGATTGCGGGAGCTGGGGCCAGGCAGGCAACAGAGTTGCGTGAGTGGGGCGGACATCTGTCAGCTGGGCTGGTGGGGTCTCCAGGGAGTTGCCCCCTTCCCTTGAAGCCATTCAGATGTCAAGATTTGACAAGCAAATGGGTCACATGTGGCTAGGCCTTTTAGCCCCAGTTTATAATCTGATGGTTTCACCCGTAGGATCTTCTTCAGAGTATACATTTCTCCCCCAAATCGTATTTTAGCCCTTGTGGAGCTGGCGAAAGCCCACCGGAGAGCCACTAATTCTGTCTACATTGTTCTCATCCCACGAGTGAAGTAGCAGAGCCCAGTGAGCTCAAGTGACGCCCCCCCCCCCCCCCCCGCAAACAGCCAGTCAGCAGCAGAGCCAGGGTTCTGGCCCCAGCGTCCTGACCCCCACTCTGTGTGCATGTCGCTGCACTCACCCTGCTGCCGTGGTGTGTGCTGACTCAGTCCGTGACCCCCAGATCTTCCGCTGGCTGCCAAGGATCAAAAGATGACGAGTTAGTGCGCCTGAGGAGCCTCAAGGGGGCGTGGCACATCACGCAGGTGAGTTGCAAGGCAGCGTGTGTAGGCGCGAGGGCGCAAGGGAAGGGAGCAGAAATAAGGCAGCTCTGAATGTCCCCCATGCCTGTTCCATGAGCGTGTGTGACCACTCAGAGGTGTGGGGACCAGTCGGTCGCGGGGATGGCCACTCGGTATTTAAGCCACTCTCACCTGCTGTCATGAGCAGAGCTGGTGATGGGTACCCTTGAGGATGTGAGATATTGTTTGTTTCTTTCGTGGGAATGGACTGCGGGAAGGCAGGTCCTAGCCAGCGGGCTGGGGACAGAAGGAAACGTTGGAAGTTCTGGGCTGAAAGTAAACTCTTGGCAGGGCGCGCCCGTCCACTCATTCAACTATTTAGGAAGACCTACTGTGTATCTGGCGGTCCTTGCCGCTGTCCTGCGTTCTGGGGATGAGCGCTGAATAAGGTGGCCGAGGTCTTTGCTTCACAGCGGTGACCCGTAGCAGGCAAGCCGGACGAACAGCAAAGGAAAGAGCAAGATGGTTGCAAGCGGCACTCATTGTATCTATGAAGCAATAAGACAGGGTGAGGTGACAGACAGTGACGGGGTTGTGGGTGGGGAGTGGGCAAGACACCATCCTTCAAGGCTGCTTTTAGCAACCATGCTCCGGTCTGATTGAGCCAAACCTAACCAATAAATTCAGCTTCCTAGCCGAGCGAGTGGCAGGGCCGCTATTCCTGGACCATATGTCTGTACAGAGGGATTGGGGTTGAAAGGTCAGCTGAGAGCTGTGGTCCTGGCCAACTGGGCTGTGTGCAGAGGCCGAGGCCAAGTTTCACTCCGGGAGCTATATTAAGCTTGCCAAGCTCTGGGGAAGCTCAGCAGCCCCGGACACTGAGCGGTGTCGTGGGCTCGGGCTCTGGAACCCCCGAGCGGAAACATTCTGCCCAGTTAAGCGGCCGGCACAGGGCACCTCGTATCTGTTAGCTGCAGTGAGCTGGACTCTGAACCGCCCGGATAGAAGGTCTCTGTGCATCTTGTCTTCCTCGCCCTGGACGGGTCTGAGGGGGACTCGTGCAGGAAGCATGCTCCTGTAGTGAGCCGGGTCTAGGGTAAGTACAGGTTGGGGATGAGGGGAGCGGGGGAGCTGTGGTGTGGGAGCAGCAGCTGCATCTCCCGTTCCCTGCTCTGTCCTTCTGCTGTTGGAGCTTCACTCATTTTTGCTCTTGTTGGATTTTCATTCTCGAGGAGTAAAGAGTACTGAATCCGGTACTGCGGGGGCGGGGACTGTGTAACCTTTTGCAAACCACTGAGGCTTACATGGATCTCAGTTCCCTTTTCTCTATTTTGGGGTAACATGCTTTTCCCTGGTTACTCTACAGGGATAGTTATGAATATTAAGGGAGCTCTGGATTTGAAAAATCACTTCTTAAGCACTCTACGGCAGTAAGGTGGTGATATGATTATTTTTACACCTAGGTGCTATTACGCACTTCAGTGATTTATACTGTACCCCCGTGTGATTGTTGATTCTGGCGCAGCCTTGCTGAGAGGTTCCACAGAAGTTCATTACCATAAGCATTCATTGAAACAGGCACTGGAGATTAAAAAAAAAAAAGTTATAAGACTCATTCTCTGCTCTGGGGAGTATCTAAGTGGAGGGAGCAATTTCCAGAAACACCGAATATATCGTTGGGAAGATATTTATGGGGCTTTCAGACAAAAGGATCTAGGCCCCATTTTCCTGACTCTGTGTGTGTATGCGTGTATGTGTGTGTGCATGTGAGTGTGTGTGTGTGTGTGTCTGTGTGTGTGTGTGTGTGAGTGTGCTGCCTGTTGTCTGGACTTGGAAGCAAGCCCTGCATGTCCTTGGAATGCCCCCACCTGAACCCAACTGCCTGACCTGGGTTCTGTCCCTGATAATTCCTGCCCTGGTAGTGATCGATAACTGAATTACTATCCTTGCAGATTTTTATAGAGAATACTTAAGTAATAAAAATTGCAACTGTTAGATCTGGAAAAGACCTTAAGAATCATCTTCTATAGTGAATTAAAGAAGTTAAGCTGTAAAGTCTTTTCTCCAAGAGAAAGCACGCTTGGAAGGCTGTTGTGTGTGTCACATACAAGCAGGTTGGGTGAACTTGGGGCAGGAGATGAGAAGCCTTCTTGTTCGCCCTGCCCACTGCCCAGCCACACGCACACTCTGAGTTGGAAAAACCACGGATCGAGTCTGTAGACGAGGAAACCGAGTCTCTGAAGCAGGGACCTGGTTAAGTGACCTGGTCAAGATCACATGGTGAGGAAGCGCAGGTGTCCCCCGGAACCCAGGGCCCCTCTCTCCCCGGTCAGGAAGTCCAAGCTCTCTACTCCTCACGACAAAGACACTCAGTGGGTTAAAGGAGCCCCACTCTGCAGAGTCCGGTCCCTGGAAAAGGAGGGCGTGCTTGGGGCCGGGCAGGCCCGCCGCGTATCTGCGTTCAGTGGAATGATTCTGGCTGAGAGCAGCTCCGAAATGCGGGACCTGATGTTCCATGATGGCTCTAGGGCATCCGGGAAGCATTTGGCCCCTGGCTGAGAGGCTGCAAATGGAAGCTGGACCACTCAAGTGTGTTTCGCCCTGTTCTCAGGGAGCAGCCAGCCGCCTGGTGAACCCCTGCTCTGAAAGTGCTCGCTCCGGCAGAGCCGCTTCTAATGGAACGAGGCAGCCGGGGGGGAGAGTGGGCCAGGCGGCTAATGGCTTTGCCCTCCGCTGGCTGCCTCCCATCCCATCTACCTTCGCGCGGAGCCCACATGAACCCCGAGCGGGCACAGAGGCCAGTGAAGAAGGGAGTATGCCCCTGACCCATAAGGAGAAGGGGTGGAGGGGGCTGCCGGCTCCCACCTGGGAGAGAGGGAGCTCCTCACCTCACCACCGCTAGGGCAGGGGCTCTGACAGGTCTTGCGGTAAAGGAGGAATGAGCTCCTAGCCTGGGCTCTGGCTTGGGCAGGCCCCTAACCTGCGACTGGGCAGAGCGACAGCCCCAGTGTCTCCCTCCTCCAGGCTTTCCTGGAGCTGCTGTCTCATTTCCTTCCCTGAGGCAGAGTTTCAGGAGCAGTGGTCCTCGGTGCAAACCCTCCAGTGGCTGCTTTTAATTGCTTCTCAAGATTAAATCCACTCTCCTTAGCCAGGCAAGCCTCGGGCTCTGTCACAGCCCATCCCCCAGTCCTCGCCTCCCACCCATCCACATGCCACGGGAGACCCCGGGCTTCCCTCAGGGGCCTTTGCTCTCAGGGCCTTTGGCCAATCACCAGCCCATCACTGGCCCCCGGGAGTCTTACCCGCTTTTGAAGGCTGCCGGCGTCCTAGCTCAGATGCCGCCTTCTTTAGGAAGTCTTCCCTGATGTCAGTTGGGGGCCTTTCCTTCCTAAGCAATCCCAGCTGACTCTCAGTCTCATCAGCGGCCCGTCCCCTTGAGGCAGGGGCTGCCACTGTCCTCCTTTCTGCATCCCTGTAGTATTTCTGAATGAACACTCGAATAAACCAACTGCTCTCTGGCCCAGTTTTCTCATCTGGAAACTAGAATGACCTCATAGGGTTGTTGTGAGCGCCAAGCAAGCCTTCTGTAGAGGGTAGTGCTAACAGTAGCATTAACAGTACTTGCTGTCTCTGACCTCTGGAGGCTGCAGGGGGTGAGGCTGGTCCCACAGGTCAGGGCAGTGGGAGGGGAAGGAGAGTGATGGCCTCTTGAGCCTCAGATGGTGGTGGCCTCCTCCTTATTCCCATATCCTTTCTGGTCCATCTGAGGCTTTGAGTATAGAGCCTTGGTCAGCCAGAGGGTTCTTTCTCTGGGGTCATCTGACCTAAAATGTTGACATTTCATGGGTGCATCTAAGGGGTGACAGCTGTTTCACTGTCATGCTCCAGAAAAGTTGTCACCTAGAATCTACACCAACAGAAACCCCCTCAACCTAGTTCTTAAAAAGCAGTAAACGTCTAACTATGTCCCACATCCGAAGTAATGATAACCTAGATAGTATCATGACAACATTAGTTTTCCGACCCCTACCCCCGCACCATGAAATGGAATCATTTAACCCCTTTGGTGGATGTGGGCTCATTTACTGCAGAATTCCTAGCACAGAGTAGAATGTCGACTGGTAAGAAACACTCAAAAGTCTCGTCTCGATGAACTGGATCTTATTGGAATGGTAGGAGCTGGAACTCACAGAAACCCTCCAGGGTGCCGGGCGCTGTGATGGGGATTTTCCGGCGTTACGTCACGGAATCCTCCCAGTGACTCTGTGGACTCGGTCTTACTGGGCTCATTTTCCAGATAAAGAAACTGGGATGGATGAAGATAAGTAACTTCTTTGAAGTCCCGGGGCTGTTAAGGGCACACCTGGAGTCGGTCCGGCTTCATGGGACAACAAAGTGATTGATGTTTTTCCTGCCAAACTGGTGAATCTTAGCCCTGACTTCATATTAACATTTCCTGGCAAACCTAGAGGAACAGCGGTACCAATGACCCTCAGAGCCATTGACTCAGAATTTCTGGGTGTGGAGCCCTGGTATCTGCTTTTCTTTTTATTTTGTTTTTTCCTCTAAAGCTCCCAGGTATACATCTAGGGCTGAGAACCACGGTGTGACACCAAAACAAAGCAAAATACTGGGTACAAGTTCTAGATACCTTGTCTTAGCCCTGTGCAAAAGGTGGGGGAGAGGAAGAGAGAGAGAAGTCTCCCATCCCATGTGTGTTTGCATCCTTCGTACAAATTTTTAAAAATTCCTGATGACTTGGACTTCAAAGCAAGGAGCTGTGGGCTGTCTTGTGTTTCTGCATCCCTTATTGCCCTTGACCCGAGCCTCTGCCCCCACCTCCTGTGCTCAGTAAGTATTTGCTTAGTGAATTGAATAGCTGTAAATTTAGAAGGAACGTAACTCAGGCTGTATTGTGTTTTATGTTTTATTGATTATTCCTGCTGTCCCAAAGGCCTTGAATAGAGAAACAAATCCTACCGTTGGTTTAGTTTGAGAATTGCTGTCACTTTGGGGAGATAGTATGATTCAAAATTCACGTAGACCATACAGAAGTCAGTGGAAACTTGCTTCATTTCCCCGATAGTTACCAGGTGCCTCTGCTGGACACAAACACATGTGTACTCGGCACCACCTGGGAATTTACTTGTAAGTGTTCCTATTTTTTGTGCCTGTCCCCACTCTTCAATGAGAGTGTGCATTTTTGAGGAAAGATCTAGGTTTTCGGTCTCCCTTCACAGTGCCTAGAAGGTTGGGCTGTGCTCATGAACACTCACAGTTTCTGCTAAGTGGTTGATTCTGTCATGTGTATTAACGATTTGATGAATACAGAGCACTCAGCTGTGGCTCTCGGTAATCTCCCCGAGCACTGGAAGGCATGAAGGTGGTGGGGGTGAGGACCCAATATGAACTTGGGACAGGGCTGAGGACAGGGAAACACACGTTCATTGCTTAAGCCTTTTGGGCACACCAACTCCCTACCGTGTGCCAGGACCATGTCGGGTATGGGGAAGACAAAGCAGATAGTCCCTGGCTGTACGAATTTTCCAGTTTCATTGGAAGATGGCCTGTTCCTTATGGTCAAGTTCAACACCATGATCTGGGGCTTTCTACCCAGTTTTGGTGCTACTGCAATGATTTGGACATTCGGTTTAGCATCCTTTGTGGGCTTGTTGAGATGACCTTCTCTTCCATTTTACTGTGAACTCCTTACGAGTGTGAATTTTTAGACCTCACTTTTGTACCCCAGAGCCTGGCATAGTCCCTGCAGGGTAAGCACTCAGCCAGTGTCTGTTGATTGACTTAGTGAATGGATTTGCCTTTTATTTTTGCTTGGCTCTCTTGGAGTCTAAGTCTTTTGCCTAAGAGCTGTAGCTCCTCTTGGAGCACTGTTGAATAGACAGTCTGCCGTTATAACAAAATCTAAAACACATAGTTGACTTGTCCTAAGTGGGTCTTAAGTGTGTCCAGGGTGGATTTCCAGCTCTTAAGAAACACATGGGTAAAATGAGTAAAAAATAACAATTCTGATCATGTGTTGTGATGTTCAACTTAGGTGTTGGTGTTACAAATGATTTAGTTCCTCCGTGTCACTTTTTTTCTCCCTTACATTCATATCCCCCCAACAGGCAGTTTCGGATTCTCTGTACTTACGAACTACTTCTTGAAATAGATTTTGTTTTTTTTCTGCAAGGATACCCTCGTTGCTTTCTGTCTCAGGCATTGGGTCTGTTCTGTCTCCGTGTTTTATTGTATTTTTTTCCCTTACAGCTAAATGTGGTCAACAGCGTCAGCATTTCAGAGGACATCAAACCCTTACCAGGGCTTCCTGGGATTGGAAACATGAACTACCCATCAACCAGCCCCGGATCTCTGGTGAAACACATCTGTGCCATCTGTGGGGATAGATCCTCAGGTACGTGTAGAAGCAGATGCCACTCTTGGGGGTCCCATCCAGTGAGGGTCTCAAGACGGCGCCTGTTCCACTGCTTACCTGGCTACTTTGTACCCAGTGGAAGAAAAAGGGCCTTTGAGGATGGTCCAGCATGGGGCCCAGGCTGTAAATTTCTGGCACTGGATTCATAGCCTGAAATCTGTATGAAGTTAAAGTATGAGTTCATTTTTAAGGATTGGATTTATAGGAAGCATTTCAGAAACACCTCTCTGGAGTTACTGTGTTGTATACCGTTTATGTGGCATAGTGAAGCTGTTATAATTAGTCATCTCTTTAATTTAAAAAAAAATGATTTTTTTCTAATTCTAAAAATATTGTCCCAGGGTAGGAAATGTCCCAATGTAGGAAGAACTAGAAAAGTACAAAAGAAAACTAAAAACATTATCTGTAATGTTCCTAGTGAAGCTAAAGACTTTACTCTTTTAGCATATTTCTTTCTACAACATTCTAGGTTTTTCACATGATTTCATGGGTAGAAATAATTGTGTTTTCATAGATTTCATCCTCTCTGATTCTCTTCCATTTTTGCCCAAATGATTTCTTTCGTGACTTCTTCTCCGCCCTCTCCCTCACCCCGCAACCCCGCCAATTTTGAGGACATGAGAATCTCTGTTTCGATGAATGAGAAGATGGGGAAGGCTCTTTCCTGTGGCTGTCCATGGTGGTGGACTGAGGATTCCTCATCTTCCTGTTGTCACCAAAGCCACTGCAAAATTCTCTCCATCGAAAGTTTCCTGGGGCCTGGAACTGACTTCGCAGTGTGGCTGACTTGTTCACTTGTTCTCAAAACGTGGTTGCCAAATGGTGCGGGTTTGGCCGTTGCCATAGCAACAGAAGGCCAGTCACACCCCAGCAGGGTTTCCTCTGCTATGGCTTCTTTGAAAGTCTGGGAATTTCACTCAAATACGGGAGAGTCATGGGAATGACATGCAGGTACCATGTTTCTCAGAGACAAATACTTCAGAGCTGAGAGCATTAGGATTTTTCCGCCTAAGATAAAATCCCATATTTATTATTGCTATGCGTTCAGTGGGTTGGTATGGGCCACTGATTGAGCCCCGACTGGCTTCAGCAGGCAGGCCATCTCAGGCCCCCATTTTATCTGAGGGCAGCTTCCTCTGACACCTCAGCTCCTGGGATGCAAATGCGTGTCTCGACTGGTTCTCAAGGACGTCTTCACGTTCACTTTTCCATCAGCCTGAGTACAACGGAAGTAGAAAGCAACGTCGGGTCCACAGCTAAACAACATCACAGGTTACACTGAAGAACTGGGGGTATATAGAGTTTGAATGATCTGCTTCCTTCTGTTTTTCCACATTCAAATCAATTGAGCACAGCCGTCTGGCGTGTAGATCTGAGAAGGGCTGCTTAGAAGGAGGGTTGTGACTGGTTCTTGGTGCCCCTGTCGGGTGCACGTGGTGGCTCTCCTGCCACAAAGGAGCCACCCGTGGCTGGGGTCATTGGAAACTGTGTGGAACACATAATCAAGGCAATGAAACATGTAACAGAATATTCTAGATCAAGCAAAACTGCCTTCCATCAGATATTTCAGTCATAAGACTACATGTCCTTTTATGCTCTGAAGATCATATACCAATTTATTTCTCCAACAGCAAGAGCATCTAGAAAATCCATAATCCAGGTTCCTGTTCCTAGTCTGTGGTGGAAGACAGTACTCCTCAGTGGGGCTCCCATGTCCTTGGGCCTCAATTATGGGGAAATACTAGTGAAGTTGAGGGCTTTTTTTTTTTCCCTGCTAGATACTACATAACAAGCATAAATATTTTTATTTATTGCATATACTAATGTCTTGGATGGAGACAGAACATTTCGCTTAACTAAACACAAGAGTTGCCTTAATAAAATAAATGTAAACAAAATCTTGGGTCAGGACTTTTCTGACAGTGTTCTCTCTGGAACTGGCGATTCTGGATGGGAGACACGAGCAGGGGCCTCTTTACTCTGCCTTCGTCTGGTCCCTGTGGTCCAGCCTGCCTTCTTCGCTGGCTGCTCTTTGCTGTCCGTCCTGGGGCCCAGGTGGTGGGCAGGGGTCCCTGGGGAAGAGCCGAGGGGGCTTTTGTCAAGGAAAGGTCCAAATGAACACGAGGACAGTCTCTGCCCGGTTAACTTTTTCTTCTTGTGAGCAGGGAAGCACTACGGCGTGTACAGTTGCGAAGGCTGCAAAGGGTTTTTCAAGAGAACCATAAGGAAAGACCTCATGTACACGTGTCGCGATAATAAAGACTGTCTCATTGACAAGCGCCAGAGGAACCGGTGTCAGTACTGCCGCTACCAGAAGTGCCTGGTGATGGGCATGAAGAGGGAAGGTGAGACCCTGCCCCCGCGGGGAGACAGGTATAAACCATGGTAGTACCCTCCTGATCTCCCGAGGCCTGCGGTCAAGTCCCCCGCCTGAAGCAGCGGGTCCCCCAGAGCAGAGAGAGCAGGAGCGCCTTCCTCCTCCATGCTCAGCCTTCCTCTCCAGGAGTTCAGGTGGGGGTCCGCAGGCTGGACACTCTCCCGGGCTCCTCTCAGATGGGCAGCAAGTCTCAGAGCTGTCGTCCCGGTCCTGGACCCCACACATGGGTCATTCGGATCCTTCGAGGCCTTTCTGGGCAGAGCAGGCTCCTCGCCTCTAATCCTCACGGAAAGGTTGACTGGTTTGAGTCATCTCTGTGGGCTTGTGTAACCTTGGGCAGCTACAGCTCTTCTGAGGTTGGTGCATTCCATGGACGTGGGGGGATTATTGGCTTTACCAGTAATCGGACATCGCCTTCGCATTCAGAGAGACCGTCGGTGTACAGTTTTAGGACGTTATATCTCTCAGTTTACAACGTGGGTTCGTTGGTTGTTGTAGAGCAGGGAATAAAAAACCTGAAAGTGCTTTCCGTTCATTTAGAAAATCAAAAGGTCTTTCTGTTAAATATCACAAATCGAATCGGGCAGTTAATTAACTCGTGAACTCAAGCAAGGACACAGTGAATGGTGCCTCTTACGAGATTGCAGAGTGAGGAAGTCCCGCCTCTCTCCAGGAAATGGGGGCAAGGCATGTAGTCAGCCCCAGGTGACTCCTCATTCTCCAGCAACTTCTTTTCTCTGAGAAGGGGAGGCTGACTGAAGGGATCAATGAAGAAAAGGTTCTCGGAGTGTCTCTGAGGAGATAATGCTACCAAGAAGCAAAAATGGACCTTCTTAGCATGTCTGAGGTAGATGGAGGTGGCCCTTCAGAGTAGTTTACTAGCGCTCACTGTTCCGCAGCTGAGGAAACCGGTGTGGGCTGGTGAGGGGAGTTTTCCAAGGTCTCTCTGGTCCAGCCTTGCTGGTCTCTGCTGGGCCTCCAGGAGCTTTGCGCTTACTGTCTCTCTGCCGGCAGCACCCTCTTGCCAGGTGCCTGCAAGGCTCCCTTCTTCTCTTCCTTCAGACCGTTGCTCACTTGTCAGCTTCTGGGTAAAGCCTTGCTTGTCTATGCCGTCTAGAATTGCATCAGCCACCCTGGGTTCTTCCTAGTCTCTTTTCCACAGCGTGTGTCACCGTATCTAACATACTTATTTTGTTTATCTCTGTCTTCACCAAGGCAAGTTTTCCCCCCCGCCCGCTTTGTCACCCATGACTAGCACAGGTAGGCATTTCATACGTAATTGCTGAATGAATGGGTGAGTGGTTTAAACTGAATATCGGAATCAGAAGTTTTAGTCATGCAGGAGCTCCTGAGAGAACTCATTCCCTCCTGCAGCGAGTGTTAACTGAGGGCTTGCTTCATGCTCGTGTCATTCTGGCTGTCAAGGAATCAATGCTCTTACCGGTCGGAACATGTGAGGTGAAAAATCAGCTGGTGGAGACTGTCTCCTCTTCACCAAGATAGAACTGCTGCTCCGTGGGGCTTCTGCCGCCATGATGGTCACACGTAAAATTTAAGACGCCAAAGAATGTCTCCCATCAGCAAGAGCATGATGGCTGTAGGGGGCCATTTTTGTCTCTCAGGACAGATGAGGTAAATTCAGGATGACTTGGAAAAACAACCATTTTCCTTCTGCGGATGAGATGGAACTAAAGACAGGTGAAAGGCGTCCCTCAGAGGAACGGCCGCGTCTGCTGCTCACGAGCTGTCTCTCAAAACTCAAGCCCGGCTGCCCTCAGCTCCGTTTCAGTCAGAGTGGTTGGCGGGCAAAGGGCAGGAAGTGTGGCTCTTTCACGAAAGAAAAAGTCAGTCAGACTGGAGCATGTGAATTCTAAGGGCCTGGGCAGTCCTTCCTGTAAAGCCGGCATTGTTCTGATTCTTTGATGGAGCCCTGTCTAGTTTTGGCTTCTGCCTCTTTGAAAAGAATGTGGAGAAATGGGAGTGATGAACAGTTGAGTAGTAAAAATTCAGAGGGTGGGACGCCTGGGTGGCTCAACTGGTTAAGCAGCTGTCTTCGGCTCAGGTCATGATCCCAGCGTCCTGGGATCGAGTCCCGCATCGGGCTCCTTGCTCTGCAGGGAGCCTGGTTCTCCCTCTGTCTCTGCCTGCCTCTTTGTCTGCCTGTGCTCACTCTCTCTGACAAATAAATAAATAAAATCTTTAAAAAAAAAATTCAGAGGGTAAAAGGGCTCTTGGAGAAGTTCGAAAGGAATCGGTGCTATTCACCCTGACCTAGAGGGGGCAGAGGAGCGAATGGACCCCGGGTCTGAGTGGAGGAAGGGCCACTTTCCGAGGCTGCTGGGCACTTTCCTTCACCGCTCTCATTTCTGACCTCGATTTACAGAATCGGGAGCTCAGGGTGGACACTGCCTTGAGGACAAGAATAACAAGACTCTGGAACAGTCAACGGAGAGGAACTGTTGAATGGAGAGTTTCTGGAGAGTTGACTAGAGAGAAAGGGAGGGACGTGGGATGGGCTCCGAAGGTGTCTGCTGGGAGCCAGGGCCCATGACCCACTGCCTTTTCAGGGTACATAGTGGTGAAGCCGGTGTGGACATTTGCTATTCTCCGATGTAACACATTTGTTTCCTGACAGAAACGAAGGTCCTGAGAGCCTTGGGACCTGACTAAGCTTCCTGAGCAGTCTAATGGCCGAGCTGATACAGGACTGGGACCGTCTGGCTTCCAGGCTCCAGATAACCCTCAGGGGTCATGGGGAAGTCTACTTCCGTGATTTCTGGTCACATACTAGAGTTCGGATAGTTAGGTAATGGGCTGTTTCTGAGGCAGTTCGTGGGTAGCGTTTGACATCCCTCTCGAGCCCTGTGTGGTCGTCATTAGTACAACCGGCCCAGAACTGGGAACAGGTACAAACGGCTGAGGGGTGGGCTCAGAAGGCTGTCGCCCGCGTCCACGCGTTGGCTCCATCTTTTCTTAGCTCTGGGACCTCTGGCAGGTTACGTAACTGCTCTGTGGCTCCTAGTACTTGAGAGGGTTATTGGGGGATTGAGCGAAGTGTAATCTGTGCAAAGTGTTGTGCATACTCCATAAATTTTGGCTATTAGAGTTAATGTGCAATAAATGTATGTTGGGCTAAGACTAAAATTCTGTTAGAAGGCAGAAGTTTGGTATAATTTTATTTATTTATTTATTTATTTGAAGGTTTTGTTAATTTATAGAGAGAGCGCACACGAGTACGGGAGAGGGAGAAGCAGACTCCCTGCCGAGCAGGGAGCCCAACACGGGGCTCGATCCCAGGACCCCGAGAGCATGACCCAAGCTGAAGGCAGATGTTTCACTGACTGAGCCACCCAGGGGCCCCCCGAGTTTGGTGCTATTTTAGATCACCGAGTGTCCCCCGGATATATCCCAAACGCGTATAGTAGGGTAGCTCAGAATGTCTGCCACATAGAAGATTTCCCCAGCAACAGACATATGACTCCTCTGCTGTGGCAGTAAGATTTATGGCACAAAGAGGAGAGGGGACCAGCAAAGAATAACGCGATTAATGGCACGATTGGAATTAGAGTCGAATTCCCGGAAGCCCAGGTTGTTTTGTTGAAGGTTGAAGGTTATTCCCCTTCCATGTTACAGATCTGTAAAAAGAAACCAGTTGAGGACCATAAAGGAAACTTAACTTAGTTTGCTCTTCCCCATCTTTTAAAATCAAGACAAATAGAAGCCTGCTCACCTATGTTAAAACGATTAATACAAGAAGCACTCAACTTTAACCAGTCAGTTCAGCTGACAAATAAAACTACATATGGTAGCATCTGTGTGCTGTCCGTGAACGAAGGCTAACCGAGTGGACCAGAAGGAAGGAGGAGGGAGGAGGAGAAATGAGGAGAGGGAGGAAGAGGTGGAAAGGGGAGATGGAGGAGGACCAGACAGAAGTCCCAAGAGCACAAACAGAGACAAAGGGAAGGGAAAACTACCTTTTTGGGAACTTTAAAAAAAAAAGATATTATTTATTTATTAAAGACACAGCGAAAGACGGAACACAAGCAGGGGCAGTGGGAGAGGGAGAAGCAGGCTTCCCGCTGAGCAGGGAACCCGATGTGGGGCTCGATCCCAGGATGCTGGGATTGTGACCTAAGCCAAAGGCAGACCCCCAACCGACTGAGCCACCCAGGTGCTTGGGAACTTTTTATAATTATTTCATTTAATCTTCCCCAAACAGCCTCACTCAAGTATGGTAATCCCCCCTTTACGTTAGGGAAACTGAGGCTGAGTGGGCTGTCATATGTCTGATATCCTTTAGCTAGGAAGTGGTAGAGCCCATTTTGAAAAAAACTTCTTGGGCTCCAAAGTACATGACTTTTGTTCTCCTCTTTTCTAATTTCTCTTTATTCTCTCTCCCTTCTGTTTCTTCTTTTTGTCGCCGCCCAGCTTTATTCTCTTTATGCCACGTCTCCCTCTACTCTTTCCTTCCTACCCCCCATCCCTCTGTCCCAGCCCCTGAATATCATTCTCATCTTGAGGCGTCTTCAAGGGTATCTACTGGAGACTGAAGTGTGAGTGGTGCTTTTGCGGTCATACCCTTCTCTGACCCACTGTGGCCGTCTCTGACATCCCTTGTGTGACAAACTGGACGCCCAGCGTCTGGTTCCGGTTCATTCTGCAGCCTCTGTGTCTCACTGTCCCCGCGAGATCCTGGTGAACCACTCACTTAGAGGATAATTTTCTTGATTCTTGGGATTAAAAAAAAAAAAGTATACCAATACTGAATTTTGCTCCTTGATGCTAGGACTAGGAAGATGGAAACCACAGCTTTATAGATGAAGGGAACTCACCCAACAGAATATTTGTCAACAGAGAGGACAGAATTGGGAAGGGGGTCTGCCTGCCATCCTTGTGTACAGACCATTAGGGTTCTGAGGGTTAGGATGCACTTTGGTGAAAACCCTAAGTGTGGGGCAGCAGAGATCATTCCAGTCTGCGCTTCTGCCTGTGTCCTCCCCCCCCCCCCAAATCAGCCACTGACTCTGAAATGTCATCTAGGTGACATTCCTCCACCTTTTCACTTACTAAATCCCGTCATGGCTCCCCAAAGATCTCCCCTGACAAGTTGGATCAGGTGATGTTGTGTTCAGGTCGGTGCATTAGGGGCAGAGCTAATGGGACGTGAATGCCAAGCCTGATGCATAGAATCTGACAGAGGGAATTCGCGAAGTAATGCACTCGCTGCTTAACCATCGCAGGCCCACAGTTTTAGAGGGAGCAGCTAGAGGTGAAATGCAGGGACGCTCCTTGAGAGACGGAGGAGGAAGTAGCTCATTAAAAGAGCAGGATCAAGGTTATGAAAATTTGAAACGCAAACTTCTTAGACTGGTCACCATAATGAACGGGGAAGGCTACAAGCTAAACGCACAGGTGTACACCTGCATAGGCAGGCCACTGGGCTTGCTTTGTTCCATCTGTCAACATCATGACAGCTCTGACCCAGCGCCAGGATGACGCCTGTGTTACAGACAGGGCAGTGGGAGCTCTGGTAGGTAACTCACTTTCCCGTGGCTGTCCTGGGCACGTGGTGACATCTGCGTGTCTTTCTGTGTGCCAGCTGTGCAAGAAGAAAGGCAGAGGAGTCGGGAGCGTGCTGAGAGTGAGGCAGAATGTGCCAGTGGTGGCCATGAAGACATGCCTGTGGAGAGGATTCTAGAAGCTGAACTTGCTGTTGAACCAAAGACAGAATCCTATGGTGATATGAACATGGAGAACTCGGTATGCGGTCTTAGGGCTCCGTCCACCTCCCAGTGTTTGGCAGGGCTGGAGATGGGAAAGGGGTGCACTGGAGTCCCGGAACCTGCCCCTCACAGTACTTTGGTGTTTTTGTTTCTTTTTTTTAAGACGAATGACCCTGTCACCAACATATGCCATGCTGCTGATAAGCAGCTTTTCACCCTTGTTGAATGGGCCAAGCGCATCCCCCACTTCTCCGACCTCACCTTGGAGGACCAGGTCATTCTGCTCCGGGCAGGTAAAGGACATCGAGGTTTGTTTTTTCTTGGGACCATCACTTGGGCTGCCATTTTGAAATTACCCTTGGGATCTGAAGTCAAGTCAGCGGAGGAAGCTGCGACCCATCTGAGCCTTGTGCCAGGCTGGTAACAGGATAACCCTACTCAGTTACTCTTTTTGTATTAATTACAGGCGCTTACATCTGAGTGGCCCCTCCTCCAGAACTTTTTTCCCAAATGAAACATTGTTAATGGAGGGTGGGGCTCTTCTTCTATGCAAATTTTGCCATGGTTTTATAATTTGGATTTAATTTTCCGAGACAGCTAAGTCCATTTCATCAAGGGTGGTCCAAAGCAGTGCCCCCTTATTACTATACTGTAGGAGCTAGAGGGATTCCCATTTCACAGAGGCGAGGAAAGACACCGGAGAGTGCCCGCTCAAGTTCATTTATCCAGGATCCCTTCCTCTGCTAAGGTTCTGTGTGCCGCATCATGTCTTGGCTTCCATTTCTGGGACGTTGGGCATGTGGCCCATTCACACCCCCCCCCCTTGGCCATCGGACCAACAGGGAGGTTTCATGAAGACCAGCTGAGCCTTGGGAGCCAGACCCTCATCTCATCCCCGTTAGATAATGCGCAGTCTCTGAGCGTTGACTGAAAGCTCCGTGCTCGCTGGGTGCCACCAGACACTAAGGTGATCCAGCCGGCCTGTCGGGTCCTGGGGGCAGAGGCTTCGAGGTCTCCCTTACCCACCCTGGCAGCTAACATGCTGACGATTACCTGCTCAATGTTCAGCCTATATGTGTTGATCGGGGGCGGAAAGAGAGTCCTTATCCTCAAGCTGCCATTCTGAGCTGTACTGGGGAGGTGGTGGGGGAAGTGCAGGGCCCTGAGTCAGGGGACCCCCAGTCTTACCCTGTTTCTTCACTAATTAGCTGAGTGGTCCCGAGCTGGCTTTTAGCCCCCGCGCGTTTCTGATGCTGCTTCTGTTCCACGCGGGTCACAGTACAGGCCTCGAGTGATCATCAGTGAAGCACGAATGGGGTCAGTTTTCCCTCAAGGCCTCTTTCTTCCCCACGCAGGGTGGAACGAGCTGCTGATTGCCTCCTTCTCCCACCGCTCCGTCTCGGTGCAGGATGGCATCCTCCTGGCCACTGGTTTGCACGTCCACCGGAGCAGTGCCCACAGCGCCGGAGTCGGCTCCATCTTTGACAGGTGGCTGTCCTCTGCCTCCAGTGCTCGTGTGCGCGCACGTGTGTGTGCATGAGTGTGTGCGTGAGTGTGTGGGCCTGGGGGTAGCTCTGGTGTGCAGGACGGACCACCCACACAGCAGCGCGGGGCAAAGCGGAGAGACTGTGAAACACACAAGAGCAGACCCTAGGGGACGTGGCTGGTGTATTGAAGAAGGTTTGAAGGGCGATGGGGGGGAGCCGGTCAGCGGGGAGGCTGAACTGCTGATCCTAGGGGGCCGGGATGGGCACGCGCAGCCAGGATCCGATTGGGAGGCAGGAGAGATGAGCTGAGGTTTTTGCCCGACCCTGTGGCAGGGTCTCTGGGGAAGGTCTGAGCAGGAGCAGACCCACCTCGGCCAGGCAGCAGCAGCCTCTGCCTGGATGCTCTGCCTTAAGTGGTGTGGAAGGAAAATGAAGGCATGTGATTTAAAGACATGAGTGACATGAGTGGGGGTGAGTGACTTGGGACAAAGGGACGGAGAGCTGGTAAAGAGGAGGCTAGGGTTGGAACAGCCTCTCTGTCCAGTGCCAGGGCCCTGTGGCTCCTTTCCACTTCCCTGAAGAGTGATCTTCCAGGTCACGTGCCCGTCCATGCAAGAGGTCTCTACTCCCTCCCTGTCCTTTCCCCCTGCACGTTCCACGCAGAGACCAGTATGGTTTTTGGCCGGCTCAGCCCTCTTCGTGGTCCCTGGAGATTCCTACCCTGTCTCTGGAGTCTGCCCGCTGCCATCTTCCTCCAGACACGCCACATCCTCGTCCTGCTTTGCCTCTTGCATTCCTAAATCATCTAGGCTGCCTTCCCAGCCCTACCCGCCAGAGTGTCCAGCCATCCCCCTGCTGTCCCCTGGGTGTTCCCTTGGATTTGACTCTTGGCCGTTGTTGGCTTGGTGTTGCTACCTATTGCTTCCACGTCTGTTTTTTTCAATGAAACTGTGAGCTCCTTGAGATCAGGGGCTGCATCCTATTCACCTCCGAGCCCCTAGTACCCGACGCGTCATTTGGAAATTGGGGTGGGCACATAAGGGGCCTTGGCTGCATTCATTGGATCAGCCCTTGGCCTGGGACTCATGGTTTTCTCATCACCTCTCATTGTTTCCTGTGAACAGAGTCCTGACTGAGCTGGTCTCCAAAATGAAAGACATGCAGATGGACAAGTCAGAGTTGGGGTGCCTGCGAGCCATCGTGCTGTTTAACCCAGGTGACTGTGCAGGGGTTCGCCCTCCTCCGTGCTCGGCCTCCGTGCTCTGTTGTCCTCCGCTCCTCTAGTTCAGCTGAGACAGACAAGGCAGGGCATGGGAACATGTCTTTGGCGAGGGCAGAAAGCTGATCTTCATGGTTTTTACTCCTAGTGCCATCTTGAAAGTGTCTCGGATGGGTGTGGAGTGTGCCTGTTTGGCGGGCAGATGGGGGAGACCACAGAGGAGAGCTGCCTAGGGTCATGGTGAGGGAGGTGGTAAAAAGTAGTCAGATTCTGCATACGGTTTTTAAAAAATTCTATTTATTTATTTGAGAGAGTGAGCACAAGCAGGCTGAAAAGCAGAGGGAGAATTAGACTCTCCGCTGAGTAGGGAGCACACTGTGGGACTCGATCCCGGGACTCGAGATCATGACCCAAGACGAAGGTAGATGCTTAACCAACCGAGCCACCCAGGCACCCAGATTCCACATATAGTTTTAAGCAAAGCCATGGGATTTGCTCATGGACTAGAGACAGTGCATCAAAGAGCAGTGTTGAAGGTAATTCTCAGGGGGCTTTGTTTTGTCTTCCTAAGTAATTAGAAAGATGGAGCTTTATTTGCTGAGAGGAGGTTCTTAAGCGGGGGGCGGGCGGGAAGGACTCAGGACTTCGAGCGTTCAAGTCTCAGGTGGCTAGTAGGCCTCCAAGAGTAGCTGGCCAGGAAGGTCTTGCTTGCGTCTGGGGTTCAGAGAAGTTGGGACTGGAGATGTGTATTTGAGAGCGGTCAGCCTCTACCTGGCACCCGGGCTCTGAGACAGGTGTCAGCTCGTGTGGGGAGTCAGTAAGGGTTGGGTAGGGAAGGGGGCTGGGTGCTCACGTGGGTGGATCTCGTTTTTGTGCCCCATCTCAGCATTCCATCCATGCACAGCTCATAGGAGGCACTCAGTAAGTGTGTGAATGTTTCTAGAATGATCGGATAAAATAAAACTCCCTTCCTTGGACTCAGTGGTGGATGCCTTTGGCTATTAACAGGGTTTTACACCTTTGTTCCCAGAGTCTACTGGGTAGACTGGGCACCAAGGGCCCGCAGCTTTGTTTCTTTCACTGTTGTTCCCTGTCCCAGTGTGTCTCGAGTAACTGAGTGGGTGAGGACAGCCCCGTGTGGAAGGGGTCCACCTGCCGTGTGTCGCCCGAGGCTAAATCAGTCGTCTTTTCCAGATGCCAAGGGGCTGTCCAACCCCTCAGAGGTAGAGACTCTGCGGGAGAAGGTGTATGCCACCCTCGAGGCCTACACAAAGCAGAAGTATCCGGAACAACCTGGCAGGTGAGGGAGTGCTGGAAGGATCTGCTGGCCGCAGCCGTCCTTCTCTCCTGCCCCGAATACATGGCAGCGCCCGGCAGGCACCGTCTAGGTTCTGCACATGTTATTTAATCTTAACAACAGGCTCAAAGCTGCTAAAACGCTGGCTCCCTGAAGCCAGAGACCTGATCTTGTTTGCCGTTCCCCACTCCAGAGCCAGAGCCTAAAACAGGGCTGGGCCCATGGTATACAGCTTTATTTTGTTTATTTTAAAGATTTTATTTATTTATTTATTGGAGAGAAAGAGAGAGAGAGGGAATGACTAAGAGTACAAGTGGGGAGGAGAGGGAGAAGCAGACTCCCCACTGAGCAGAGAGCTCGACACGGGGCTCGATTCCCATGAACCTGGGATCATGACGGAGCCACCCAGGCGCCCCAGTATAGAGCCTTCAGTGTCGAATGAACAAGCAGATGGGCAGATGAATGTGGGTCCCATCATCTCCAGTTTCTAACAAGGCTCCGAGGCTCTTGCCCACAAACACGGAGCTGGTGTGCAGGGGGGCTGGGATGTGAACTCAGGTCTGTCTGACTTCAAAGAGGTTGTGCTTTCCCGGCTGACCGCTCTGCTTTCTGCTCTGCCCTCACGGAAGCCTGTGCTAGAAGGTCCAGACTGACCGTGGCAGCCAGAACACGTGGCCACTGTCCCCAAGGCCATCTGTGTAGCCTCTGGCAAGGTCCTCCAGTTGGCTCTGGCCCTGAGCTCCTTGTCTAAAGAGGAGGACATTGATCAGAAGATCCCCGAAGGGTCTTCTAAAAGGTCTACCCTTTTAGGTGTTCTGAGTCGTTAAAAACAAAACAAAAACAAACGAACAAAAAACTTAAATGCTGTCCCCAAAGCACGGCTAAATAGAAGTTTCCTGCTCCACGAACTAGTGAAATAGAGAGAATGGGGTCCTCAAATCTCGCCGAAATCCGAAAATGAGACTGATGAAACTGCCTTAAAGACATTCATTTTGTTTTTAGGATTAATATTACATGCTTTGAGTTCTCACTCGTTCGCATTCCTCTGTGAAGCCTAATTTCCGTTTAAGCTGTTTTCTCTGGACCTCAGCCAGTCTGTGTCAGTCGTGCAGAAGCTGGGCTCCAGCTCTTACTGGAGTTTCTTTCCTTGAGCTCCAAGTGGGTGGGTTTCAGGCCTTCAGTACGACACACACACACAGGCCTTGAGGGGTCAGGAGCCCAGGCTGGCTAACAGACCTCCCAGACGTCAGGAGTGGAACACGATAGAAACGTACTTTTTGCTCACGTGCCAGTCCCGGGTGGGCAGTCTGTTTGGAGGGCTGGCTCTCTTCCGCATCAAGACTCAGGGGTCCACTCCTTCCTTCTTGGGGCTCCACTGTGTCCCAGAGCCACATCGTGTTCGGTGTCCAGATGAGGGAGAGGGAGGGAGTGGGAGGAACACAGAGGTGAAGCTATCTGGGCAGACCGGCCTCGGAAAGGTCCCCCATCTCTTCACTCACTGCCGCCGGCTGGAACTTAGTCACATGGCCCAGCGGGTCACAGAGGATTCCGGAGCATTCTCCAGATGCCGCTGTATGCCAAGGAAGAAGGGGAGAGTGGGTTTGGTGGACACCTGGCGGTCGCCCTCAGATATGCAACAGGTGAGGTCACGGCTCTGTCCAACCGACGGGGCTGGTGGCCAGCAGCCGCTCGGCCCTGGCCGGTGGGCTCCTAACCGTGGTGGTGGGTGATTTCTACCCCATCTCCTAGCTCGAAGGCAGCACTAAGCATGTTTGTTGAGCACATATTACATGTAAGATGTTAGGAATAGGCAGGCTCATACTCACCCGTTCCTCCGACTTGGCTCTAGGTCCCATTATTTATCTCAAAAACAAACAAACAAAAACAAAAACAAAACCCCCCCAAAACCCCAAAACCCTGAACCAGTCTTTTTCCTTATTATAAAAGCAGAACATGGTTTTGTGGGAAAGAAGGGAAGTGTTTAAGAATAAAGTAGGTAATGAAATGAATCATAAATTGGGGGGTGGTATTTTTTCCCATATCCTTGTGTGTCAGTGGTTGTGTACGTAGATGTGTGTGTTTAGGGGTGCCTGGGGGGCTCAGTCGTTAAGTGTCTGCCTTTGGCTCATGTCATGATCCCAGGGTCCTGGGATCGAGCCCTGCCTCAGGCTCCCTGCTCGGAGGGAAGCCTGCTTCTCCTTCTCCCAGTCCCCCTGCTTGTGCTCCCTCTCTTGCTGTGTCTCTCTCTGTCACATAAATAAGTAAAAAATCTTAAGAAAATTTTTTTTTCTTTAAAAAAAAAAGTGTGTTTACAGAGAGGAAATCATACAGTTTGGTGTATTGTTTTCCTCTCTTAGCTATTTTGGGCGCTTTATCAGATACTGAAAAGTACAAAATTATCCTTTTTCTGAGATTTTGTACTATTTCACAGGGTGGATGTATCCTTGTGTATTTAGCTCTTGTCCTGGGGAACATTCAGGTTGTTTCTACTGAATATCATATTGAGAACTTGGGAACTTGCCCGTTCTCCTAGGAACAGGACTGCCCGCTTGTTGGCTGGACGAGGGCAGAAGCTCAGGGCGCAGGGCGGGAGTGTGGAGGCTGGGCCCCTGCATGTCCCTTGGGCGCGTCCAGCACAACCTGGACAGAGGGTGGTCGCCCCACCCCCACCCCGGAGCCTGAGCAGGTGCACCAGGGACATCGCTTGGCTCAACCAGGTGGGTGAGTGTGCGGACAGCTGGTGACCTCCGCTTTGCGGAAAGTAGTGGCTGAGGAGCCTGGCCGGGTGGAGGAGAGCGCGCAGTGGTGGAGTGCTGCCACCCCGTGGACACTCTTCAGAAGTACACTTTGCAGGGGCTGAGTTCTGCTCTCTCCAGCCTGGAAGCAGAGATGGAAATTTAGGAGGACAGAGAGCCTGGTGCACATCTTCTCACCCTGGGGCCGCTGCGGCTGCCCTCGGGTGAATGAGGAACTTGGAGACCTCCCCAGGGCTCTGTCTCTTCATGGTCATGCTTATTTCCGCGGTCCTGCTCTCAGCTCCTAAATCAGGAGCAGTCGGCAAAGACAGCAGTATCCTTCTGTATTTAGTGTTTTACGTATTATAAAACTTTGGCATTCTTAGAATGTATAATATAATCTAAACATATTTAGATCTAAATATATTCTCGGAGTCACAGTTCAGGCTAACTTTGTACTTTGCTTCTAGAGAAGTCCTTCCCTTCCCCTAATTCCATGAAACTCTGCTGTGGCCGAGTCTGGACCAGGAGCTCAGTGTCGCTAGCTAACTCTCTCCTCCTGCTTGGTGACCCCCTGCAGATGCCCTCAGAGGCTTTACCATCAACAGTTTCTGGAGGGTTGTGTGGGCCTTGGTGTAGACCGTTAGCTTTTCCACAGAAAGAAGGAACGCCTACCTTTTTAGGTGGTGCCGTTTTATGTTTCTTGAATTGCCTCTGTTCCTTAACCCTTCATGGCGTATCAATATAGAAATAGACATATTTTCAAGGAGTCTTAAAATTCCAGCTTGAAACTCACTCTTAAAATCATGTTGTGATGCTCGGTGAAGACCCAGCCCAGCCAGAGCCTCTGAGTTAAGGCCAGAGTGGCTGATACGGTTTTGGTTCTTGGCCTTTTATTGGAAGTTATGACTTCCCGATTTCCGGTTGCTGTTAATACCATTAAAAAAAAAGCTTCATTGGCAAATGGGTTTGAAAGACGAAGAAGGCCCACAGAAGCAGGAAGGGAAACATGGCAGGTTGTGGGACGTCAGCAGGGGGTGCAGATGTGAGACACGTTGTTCATATGCTGGCCTCCTTCCCTGGGAAGCTCACAGCCAAGGTCCTTGACTGTACAGGAGTGTGGAGGAGTGCGGGCAAGCCTGTGTGCGTGTGTACATGCGTAGGAGGGTATTGAGAGTGAAGGCGAATGTGTGAGTGTGTATAGGTGTGTATTCGTATGCATTAGTGTGTATGTCTGAGGGTGTGTAAGAGTGTGAATGTGCACCCAGGTGTAGCAGTGGGGGAGGCACGTGTGTGCATGTACACACATGTGAGGCATGGGAGCATGTATGAGAATGTGCGAGTATGTATGTGTGATGGTGTGCACGTGTATATAAGTGTGACATACGAGGCAGGTTTGTATAGGTGTGTGCATATGTCACAATGGGGGGCTTCCTGTGCATGTATTCGCACCCATGTGAGAATGTGGGTGTGTACATGTGATTGTGCACACGTGCATATGTGTGATGAGTGTCAGGCACGTGCATGGGTGTGTGTGTGTGACGTGGTGGGGTTGTGTCGCATGCACACATGTGAGAATGTGTGAGTGTGTGTGCACGTGTGTGTGTCATCTCCCACCCAGACCACGGCCCCTCAGGGGCATCGCCCCCTGCTCCTGACTGAAAGGGAGGCACAGCCCGAGAAGCCGAGCGTGCGTGTTGGTAACAGCTGCTTGCACTTCGGTAACAAGCGTTGGTAACTGAGGTGGCCTGCGGTGGTGCAGGGAGTGTGGTGTGAGCACAGCACGGCCCACTGGGGAGGGAAGAGCTGATGCTTCCTAGGATTGGCGCTTGTCCAGCTGCCTCAGTGGCCCTTCCAGGCTCCCTGTCCTCTCCCAGGTTGGAGAGCTGATGAGCTCTGCGGTGTTGACAGCTGCCCAGAGCGGCCGATCCCAGCTCCTGATGCCCCTTCGGCTTCCCTGCAGGTTTGCCAAGCTGCTGCTCCGCCTCCCAGCCCTGCGCTCCATCGGCCTGAAATGCCTGGAGCACCTGTTCTTCTTCAAGCTCATCGGGGACACGCCCATCGACACCTTCCTCATGGAGATGTTGGAGACCCCGCTGCAGATCACCTGAATGGCCCGGCCTCAGCCTCCCCACCCACGACCACCCCTGGGCAGGTGTGTGTGGACCCCCACCCTGCACACGTTCCTCTGCTTCCCACCCTGACCCCTTGCTGTTCCCAAAATGTGATGCTTACAATAAAGAAACCTTTCTACGTGTGCGACTTTTATAGGTGGAGTTTGTACAGATGTTCAAGGAAGCCCTTCTTGGCAGTCTGAGGGGATGGGGATCTTTCTAGAAGTTCCTGGAAAAACGAACCAAGCCTCTGTACATATAATTGGTTTAAATTATTTTTTCACTTGCCATGGAAAGCAAACGAGCGAATAATAAAATAATATATATGATGTTGGCACTGCTTGGAGCACGGGGTGTGTTATTGTGCTTTGGGGAAGTGTTCTTAGCGGGGGGAGGAAAGCTGTTGGGTGGGGAATGGGGCTGGGGTCCTGAAACAGTAAATCCCACGGTCAGGCACCCTGAGTCTAAACTGGGCACAGCGCACTTGGCTCAGAGCTGCTCCACCACCCCCCGTCCCCGGCAAGACTGGGAAGAAACACAGTCTTTCAGAGTCAGCTTGGTTTTTTAAGTTTGTTTTCTTCCTCCTAAGGATAATGAGTGCAGACAACCTTGTTCTGTTTGGGAGCAATTTAGCCAAAGGCCAAGAGAAGATGCTCTCTTGATGGAAGAAGATTCTTGGATCCCAGGAGTTGGTAGGAGGTAGTAACAAAAGAAAAGAATTTTCCGTTGTTAACCAGCAACATTAGCAAAAAAGACCAGAGTATACCTAATTTGTTTTCCATCGTTATCTGACCCTGCATAGACTGTCCTTAAAATGGAAAGAGAAAACCTCTCCTGGCTTCTAGCCTGTGGTTTCCTGGTGGTCCTAGAGCCCTACTGTCTGGTGGACAGTGAGCGCCTTGAGGGCAGAGACTGTCTAACACCACTGTTAGACTATGTAGATAGCCCATCTTCTTCGAATCACCATCCTGCCAGCTGCAGGAATAGAACTTAATGGATACGCAAATCTATACTATGATTTACATGATGCCCCCTAGGGTCGTCAGTGTACAACATGAACAACTGCCCATGGCAGTCCTACTTACCAGAACTTCATCTAGGGCCAGCAACACAGCAGATGCATAGTAAATGTGTGTTGTTGAATTGGTGTCCATGTGACTGGAAGGAATTTCTTAAAGGGTATTGTGGGTGCCCAGGCTGAAGCTGGCATTCAGTAAATGTTTGGTGGGATTGGTACCTTCGGTTTCATCCCCCCATAGATGGCAGCCTGTCACGAGTAGTACAGTCCTGCGGCGAGCTGGGAGCCTCCCCGTTGGGGCCACCAGCCAGAAAATCAGCCTTTGGTTGACTCTTGTAGGAAGGTGTAAGTTCTCCTCCGTCCAGTCAGGTCGCTCTTCACGGGCACAGTGGGCCTCTACCAAAGATGTGGAGACAGTTCTCTGTCTTCGGAGAACTTACAGCTGAAAACAGTACAAGGCACGAGGATCAAGGGATACGAAGCGATGGTATGTCTTGCAGCACTTTAGAGTTTATAAAGACACATGAAGATCTGTGATAGCTTTTGGCCCGGTAGAAGTGGGCGAGAGAACTTTTGTTATCATTTTATTTATTTATTTACTTTTATTTTTTAAGGATTTTACTTATTTATTAGAGAGAAAGGGAGAGTACACAAGGAGAGGGAGAGGGAGAAGCAGACTCTCTGCCGAACAAGGAGCCCAACGCAGGGCTCGATCCCAGGACCCTGGGATCATGACCCGAGCTGAAGGCGGACACTTCACTGACTGAGCCACCCAGGCACCCATTGTTATCTCCATTTTAAAGATGAAGAAATTAAGGTGCTGGAAACTCAGAGACGTGTTCCAGGACAGACATGGTGGGTAGGAGATGGAACTCAGTCACTGTCACTGCCCATACGCAGCAAGTGTCCCCCCAACTCCAAGACTTTTGCACCCGTCTCCTCAGCGAACGGTATATTCTGTGCCTGAGAAATATCTGTCCATTGAGGGATCGGCATAAACACTGAGCAAATATAAAATAAGGAGGGTGTTTTTTTTAAATAAACGAACTTGGGCAAACACTTCACAGTTTGCCTTGAAACTTCTTGGAGACTTTTGCTGCAATGATATTTTCTTTGGAAAATTCTCTTTTCCATTTGTCTTTAGAGCAGCTTTCAGTCCACCTAAGAAACACGATCTCATGGTTCTATATTAAAAGCCCGTCAAATAACAGCAAGGACCGTAACTACCCATGGGACCCAGATTCACAGGCGACTCCGGTCTACCCAAAACCTGCTCTACACCGGGCCCTGGGCTCATCACTCTCATACCAGCTTTACTTCCTCTTTTTAAAAGATTCAGCTCTGGGTGATTTTCAGCTGTTTCCAAGAATCAAATCTCCTCTCCCTGCTAGTGATAATTTGCCCGCACTGATGTAATTGAAGAGACTGAGGCTCCGGCTCCGAAGGTTCCTCCCCACAAATGATTTCAAGGCTCTTCCGGCATAAACCAATGATGTCTTTCCCCCTGGGAGGAAGATTGGGGTCCCTGATGTGGATAAGTTTAGGGCATTCCTGGAGGCACTGAGTGGGGAGTGGAAAGCAAGCGCCCCCCCCCCCCTCGGCCTGCCTTTTGCCCTAAGGCAGGCAGGGATGGAGGATCTGGAAAAGGAGCCTTTGCTCGTCTGAAGCAGAGGACTAGGCAGCCAAATTCTTTCCCAGCCAGAGAAGAGCAGCCTTCACCCCGTTCCATGGAAATGTCTCCCAGGACGGTGTTGGAGCACACAGCCATCTCCTACCACGCCGAGCCGGCGCGGGTCCAGGCCCCCAGGGGGAGCTCCTCGCTGTCGGCGCAGGGGCGGGGATGCCTGCGGCCCGCCCAGCCCCCACCCCCGCTGGGAGCCAAGATCGATGGGCGCGGGCGCCCTCTGCCGCCGGCTCGGGGTACCACACCCACCTTCCCGGGAAAGAGGTCTCCGGGGGGGCCTGGGAGGGCCAGATTGCTCAAGATGGAAAACAAGAAGACTCGGTAAAACGAGATCCGGAGAGGCTCGGAAGGTCCGATATGCCTCTGGCCAGATGCCCACTCGGGGGAGTTTTCATTTCTGGGGGGAAGAGGGCCCTACAGAGGACGGAGACTCTCGCGGGGAATGCCGAGGAGCAGGAGCCGGTCTCAGCAGGGAAGGACCACCTCCTTCGAAGCTGCCGGACCCTCAGCAGCTACACACTCACTAGACGCGGACCTGCGACACGTGCAACGTCACCAACGTCGCACGTGAAGTCGAAGGGCAGTGCCCCCGCCGGGCTGGCGCAGGGCCCGTCCCCACTAGGTGGCGCCGCGGACGGTCCCGGGGCAGGTCCGCCGGCAGGTTAGGCTTCTCGCTCGTGGCGGGCCGGGCCGGGCGCGGGCCTGCGCATGCGCTTCCAGGGGCCGTGCTTCCGGGTGACGTCCCAGGGACGTCCGCCGGGCACGGCTGCGAGCAGGTCATGCCGCAGAGCGGACATCCTGTGCGGCGGCCCTTCCCGCGTCCTTGGAGCCGGGTGCATGTGCGCGGCAGGCGGGCCCGCGAGGCCAAGAGCCCCGCACGCGGCCCGGGTGGAGGGAGAAGCGGGTCGGGAGCCCGGGGCTAGGCCGCAGCTCGGCCTCGTCTGACCCCGTCTGACCCCGGTAAGGTCGCCGATCCCTCAGGGCTTCACATTCCTCCTCAGCCAAGTGGAAGCTTCTGGCAAGATGATCGCTGAGTTCCTTCCCCCTCTCTGAGCCGGGCCTGTCCTTCAGAGCGTGACCGATTCTCCATGCCGCGACCTTCCGCGGAGGGCCCTGAGCTCTCCGTGCTGAGCCCAGAGAAAACCCCGAAGATCCGCGTCCTCAGGGAGCTCCGACTCTGAAGGTGAAACCGGTTAAACTCGGTTGAACCAGTACTCGAGCGCTCGCTGTGGGTGTGCTGCTCCGTCAGAGGGCGGACGTGGGGAGGGGGTCCCTGGCTCCGGGGAAACAGCGAGTTGATCCTTCGCGGCGGAGGGCAGAGCCGACCGTCCGAGGCAAGTCTATCCCCCCCCGCCCCCCGCCATCGTCTCTCTCGGATCGAAATCCTCCCAAAGCAGCTACTTCTCGCGTATTTCTAGTCGGTCCCGGGAAATCCGCCTTCTCCAGTGACATTCGCGGGCATCACAGAGAGCTGTTGGATGTGTTTTACAACGTCCGTGAGTCATTGTTCTGCGATCGGTCTCCCCCTGACTCCTCCGTCTTCGTTTCCCTCTGCGCTGTGCTCCGGGATCTGTCAGCGACGCTCCGGGGGGCAGCTCACTGCCCTGGCTGCCGCAGGCGGCCGGCGAGTCCCTCGGTGGCCGGCAGCTCCCTGCCAGGGTGGGCGCGCTGGCTCGAGCCCCCGAGCGCCCTCGCTGCCTTGGGTAGGAGTTTGTCTGGCACATAGCCCAGGAATAGGACTTGCCTAGATTGTAGTCACATACCCACGTCCCTAACACGGCGATGCTGCTCTCCAAGAGGTTGCAACAACGTATCCCGCGAGTGCCTGAAGGTCCCTTGTCTGCACGTCCTTCCCAGCGTTTACAGTTCAAGTGATAGTTTCGCGGGCTGCGCATCCTGGGAGAGCTTTCTCTGAATTGCCTTTCTCTGATTTGTAGGAAAATTGGGCTTCTCTGCGTGTCTTTATTAGCCTTTCTAATTTCCTATTCTGTGAGTTACCTATTCCTAGTGTTCTAAGGGATTCGAGCAAATTCTTAGTGACCAGAAGCCTCCTCAGCATTCCCCAAATTTATTTATTTTTTTCTTTTCTAAAGGAAACCAGTGGGTTCAGAACATTGTTCCTATTCTCTCTTCACTCAAATAAATCACAAGATTTATATGCAACTTCCTCAAAAAGATATATTTCACATCTTGGCAACAACTAGAATGCACAAGGCATGCATACGTCCTATGAGAAATTTTGGGTCAGAACTTGAACCGGCTTGCTGTTTAGCAGAGCTGCTGGAACACAGAGAGGAAACTGCCTGTTCGATGAGCTTTGAAGGACCAGTGGGGTTTGGATGGATTGTTACCACGGTCAGTCATGTCTACCCTGACAGGGGAGTGGGAGTCACCATCTCTCACACTCAGAGGCAGACACATAGGCACAGGTGAACCCCCTAAA